CTTTGTGACGCGTCATCCTCCTAAATCCCAACATGTGTAAAGGACCTGTGCTAGACCTGCACCAAGAAACAGATCACTATCTCACTGAGAGGACGCAGACGAATGGGATTACCTCCGCCTCATGCCCCTCCCCTACCTCTTAACTCCACTAGCACCCTAAATATTTAGTGCCGGCACTTCATAAGTCCCATGATTTGTATCTTTCAGACCAAGCGGCGTAGTGAAGCAGCACTATGTGGTCCGGGACTCGTTTAAAAATGCTCTGGACACGTCCATCTCTGCCCCTTTGGGCCAGTCCACGTCACATGTGCAGATCGGGGGAATGCCTTCGCATATGAACCGATACGGTCAGCAAACGCCCCATCCGGTGATTCGGACGACTTTCAGTGCTGCACCACTCAAAAGTATGGTGAACATCAATGTGTCGCCAATTAATAAGGTTGGTGTTTCTCGGGTGTTCTTTGTTCGACTTGCGGCAATGACTCTAGCGTTGTACGCGCGCGGTCGCGTGCGCGGTCATACCTAGCTTCTTCTGGCTCTATTGTTTTTCAGTCAAGCTCTTTTTTCACGTTTTTTTCTCGTCTAGTCGACTATCGTGGAGCATACTACTATTAGCCAGATGTCGATCGCTCCGCAACCGCACGCGTCCATTTATGTTATTTTGACGTAGCCTTCAAGAAATGGCTACAAAAATACGTTTTTTTTTCAGAACACTGAAACTCGCACGTATCGATTGGATGTGACCGGACGCGACGGTGGTGTTTCGTCAGTGCATGGCATTCCGGGTCAAGTTACCGGTGTTCAGAATATCATAGTGGATCCGGACAAATCTCATCGCGGTTTCATCGGCTATGAGGACGAGCTTCGACCGAAGCATCCTTGTGCTGATGTAGTGCCATCGACATCAAAAGAACCCGCCAGACATGAACGACTAGAACGTAGCTATGGTGTGGCAGCAACACTCAGGTTATCGGGGCCGCAGCGCACAGGCCCGGGCCCACCATAGTCATCCGGCTGCCAGACGCGGCTCGGAGCGCAAATAGGAGCCGGAGCGTACCACCGAACCGTCTGTCCCATCTCCAGTGACAGCTATGCCAGCACTCTCTCTTCGAAGGTGGAAGTCTTAGGTCCAGTCTTTCAAGCAGGTACTGCCCCCATAGAATGGATGTGCTAAGAGTTCAGAAGTGGCCGAGGTAGAACAGTGAAGACTGAAATACCCAATACCTGCGTGGGCCACTTCACCCTAAATGACCCAGGTGTGGAGGACCATATGTGGGTCGATGTAGAAAGTTGATGCGGCGGCGCCGGTGATGCAGAAAAGCGCCTGGCAGCGGCGGGCGCGGCCTCCGTTGCAGTGGCGTCAACGTCGGCGCTCCATCGCTCCACTCAAGGCCGACTATTATTTCGCGAGAGGGTCGCAGGAGACCTTCACTATGCTAAGCCAGCTCAGGTATGGAAATCCTGCCGTGTCCCGATCAATATTCTTCACCTTCAGCCGTCAACCAGCTACGGAATCTTCCAGACCTTCGATTATTGTACCCCTACGTAAGCGTGTCGAAAAATAGGTTGGAGAAACGTGAAGCGGAGAATCAGCGCAGATTAGTCGAGAAGTCCCGGGTCACAGACATAACCCATGGATTATAGCAAGCTGAATAAGGAGGGCGCAGTTCTGAAAGGGGGCTTCTGCTAATCGTGATTATGAAACTTCGCTTCCTTCCTGCAAAGTCACGGCGCACGAAGTAATGATTTTGCCTGTGTAGATGGCGAGCGAACTTTCCCCTTAATGAAAACAAGGAAAGGTTTACTAAGTGTCGAGGCCCTCGGGGTTGGCCATTGTTGTTCTTCACTGGGAATTTGAAAAAAAACTGTAGAACTTCAGAGAAACGCTGGGAGTTTTACTGTTTCCGGTGCCGTCTGGTAACCTGGGGGCTCCTCGAGGTAAGGGAGGTGAGGGAAGTTGACGGGGTAGGAGAGCAGCTCACCAACTCTGGGTATCCAGGTGAATAGGCGGTCAACTTGCTGTCTGAACAGCATCGTTGGGAGAATCTCCCCGTTTCATTTTTACCCAGACTGCTCCTTCTGAAGATTGACCCACATCATTCAGGCACAGGGTACAGTATCGTGGAATATCCGAGTAACCCCCACCAACAGTTCCTCATCTGGTGTGGCACCCTTCCTTATCCTATATGAAAACCCTTGAAATTTATTCCAAATTCCTACCACTTCTTCCCAACTTTCCTGAAAACTCCACCTTTCCATATTTTCCAGGGAAACTGTGGCCAGGAAAGGAGGTGTATGGTGAACGTGAAACGGGAGAAATCGAGAAAAGCCAACAACCAGAGGAAATTTCATCGAAACTTGGGAAGAGCGTACGTCGTTGCTGAAGGGAGTGGGGCTTGTATTGCCTTCAAAAGAGCTCTTCCCAAGTTTCGATAAAATTTCCTCTGGTTGTTGGCTTGTCTCGATTTCTCCCGTTTCATGTTCACCATACATCTCCTTTCCTGGCCACAGTTTCCCTGGAAAATATGGAAAGGTGGAGTTTCCAGGGAAGGAAGTGGTAGGTATGCCGAAAAAAAATTCCAAAGGGTCTCTCATATAGGATACTAGGAAGGGTGCCGGTGTCGCACCATTATGAGGAACTCTTGGAGGGGGTTACTTCGGCATTATTCCGATAGCTGTACCATCGTGCATTGATGTGGGTCAAGTCTTCAGAAGGAGCAGTCTGGGTAAAAATAAACGGGGAGTACCATCAATTCACCCAAGTGTCAACGGAGTTATTGTAGCGGCAAGCGGCAAGCTCACCACGCACACGGTCCGCCGATCAAATCCCGGATCGGCACCCGCCTGCCAACAGAGCCTTCTTCCCCCGAGGACGGCAATGATACCAGAATCAGGATAAGAACACTGACTTGTGCATCGGCTGGCCGCCGCAAGTCATTTCACCTAATAAGTCTCTGGGATTCTGACTCGAAGTAGAATGCGTGGCGCATCCCAAAGAAAGATTGATGAACGGCTGAGAATTCATCGTTTTGTCATCCAAGTGTCGGAAATGCTTCAACAAAATCCGAATGTGCGATTTTTCAGAGCCGATTCAGCACCACCAGCTGTGACCCGTTGTACGTCACCGTTGCCAGAATCGATAGCGACTCGTGTGAAGCAACAAAAGTATGAGAAATATGTGAAACCGTGTAAACCGCGAATGTTTTGCTTCTTCATGGAACAGCATGTCGAACGATTGCTAGCGCAATACAAAGAACGCATGAAACGAGCACATCAGGTTTGATTTAGCCCTGCTTTTCTGATATCTAGGGTTTTGGGAGCTACTAACATCGAAGAGCGCAATAATTCAAAGGAATTACTCAAAAAACCTTTTTACTATTTTAAAAATGTCTGAAAATCCACATCAGGGACGCCATTGCTGTAATGTTTTGCGTTATCATATTGT